CCCAAGTTGGTTGGGGTGGCTTGTCTCAGCTGCTAGAGTGAGACCTGAGGTACATGCAGTGTAGGTTTCTTGAAACCCTAAACCAGACCAGAATTCCAGTATTGCCCTGGACCTTGGAGATTGATGGGCAAAACTGGAAAGTTACACCTGACCCCTAGACTCGATTATGATACTACACTAGGTGTCGGATTGGGCTGGCTTTGATATGCCAATCCGTGAGATCCTTAGAAGGGGTCAAAACCTGGGTATGTTGGGACAGTCCGAGAATTAATCTGAGTGGGTGATCATAGTGACAGGATCAGCCCCTTTATCAGACAAAGTGAATGATCGGGGATGCATTCTCTCTGATGGAAACCTAAACTACCAGTAGTTGATTTCAACCGTTGAAATTTGTTTTGCAAAATATATATATATATATATATATATATATATATATATATATATATATATTATGGTTTCAAAATGCTTGCAAAAGGTTTTTATTTTTCGAGATCCATGTGAGTAGAGAGTGCAGCATTGTACCTTGCAACCGATGGAGAGGTCATCTCTTGTCAGGCAGTGTTTGATCATTATGGGCTGAGAGGTTAAGTGCAAGACCATTGAAGGTAATACCTGATGGGTTAATCTTGCATCTGCCCACAGTCCTTGGGTTTTTATAAGGTGGCTTGACCCATGGACCATTTAGTGCAAATGTTGAGCTCATTAAGAGCCCATGGTGATGGACTCAAGGGTTCACTGTCTCCTACAGTGAATTCGGCCAGGCCTTATAACAGAGGTTGGGCTGAGCTCATGTGGATGATGTGTAGATCAATGTTTGGGTCCCATGCCATAGAAGGATATCCAACTGGGCAACAGTTTGGAGGGTGAGCAGATGGACTTAATGGGCCTAAAGCCCAATTCGAACTGGCTTAATGAGATTAATTAAATAAGGGCGATTCTAGGATTTAGATCAACAGATAGGATAAGGGATTATCCCTATCCACTCAGAGAGTCCAGATCCAAATAAAGATTTGGATCAAGAAACTCCTAATTAAATTAGGAGGGCTGATCTTTATCTACAGATAAGATAAGGGATTATCCCTATCTCTTAAAGAGAGTCCAGATTCAAATACAAGATTTGGATTAGGAAACTCCTAATGGGATTAGGAAAACCTCTCTTTAAGGCTATAAATAGAAGAGCTGGGCGAACCTCTAGTTCATCCAACAGTCTACTGTTTTAAGAGAGAAGACAACATACAACCTGAAATCGTGTTCACTAGCCCTCCATCAGATTCTTGTTGAAGAATCAGGTTCTTGCTGAAGAGCCATCCTGCTGATTCTGATTCATTCTGCACCGTGTCATCTTCGATGGAAGCAATCTTTGGATCTTTCCTTGGGCGTGAACACCTTCATTGGAGGTTATTGTTACTTCGTATCATGTATAACCCTCCACTCCCATTTGGTTTCAGATCTAGTCTAGTTTGAATTCAAGATTGATACTTGAAAATGCAGTTTTCTAAAATAAGGAATGTGATTCCCACATGGGAGAGAAATAAACTTTTGAAATTTCGCCCAACCTTCCTGCAGGGTTTGGCCATCCATATGATGATGGATCTCTCATCCCTTTCATCTTCATCACACAGTGGACCACCTTAATGGTGATGGCTTCAATATTAGCTTCTCTATTTCTTTCTTTTTCACAAAATATTCTTTGAGTCATTTCTTCCCAGATTGTCCAACATACTACTGCCCTTGTGCACTTCTAGAGCATTCTTCCCCTACTCTTTCACCAGCTTACGATAGTAGGAGCAAACAGGTTTAGTACATTAAGCAAAGGCTTCCACCTGTACCCAAACAAAGAAACCATTACCAAATTGAAGAAGAAAAGGGGCAAGAGATTAATCAGTCATAGCAATTCTCACCGTTAACTTTGCAAAGGGAACACTAGTGGGGGGAAGGCACCAATTAGGTCTTTTTCTTAGTAGTAGCTCACAAGTATTGATTCTTTATAGATACATTTCCTAGCACAGACCACCCACCCTGGTTTATTCCAAATCTCCCTAAATGGAAAAGAAGACACTTGGCTTTCACTCAATTGAATAAGGGATGAGAGAAAAGATGTACATGTGATAGTACCAGAGAGTGACAAGGTCCAAATCCTCCTATCCCTTTTATCAACTATAGTTTCCTCCCTATGGCAGGTAATGGCATAAAAAGAGGGTAACTATGTCTTTAATGGCAGGTTACACCCAAAGATGGTCTCAAAATTTAACAAGAGTTTCAGAGCCAGGATAATACCTAATATGTGGTAAGAAGAGGGGTATAATGTCACAAATGGAATTCTAAATCAATTTGAATTAAATAAATATATATATATACACACTTCATACTCGTTTATATTTATTTGTAAAGTTGGTCTGAATGTAATGTTTTTACTAAAAAAGCTATAGGTTCAAGTTTCAAACAAGTTATTTTAAATTCATTTTGTTCATTTATTCATTATATATAAAATCCATGTTAGTTTTAGTTCATTTTATTAATAGTATATAATAATTTAATCGCTTTTGAGTTTAATTTATTAATGCTAAGAAATGTCTGATTCCATGTCAAATTCAATTCGAATTCAATATAAATCATATGTAAAAGATTCCATTCAAATCTCAATATAAATAAACCAAATTTGAATCTACCTATGTCTGATTCAATCCTATCATTTGCAACCCTACTTCCTGAACCTCTTGTTGTGATAGTGAAGGCTATGTTTCTCTCTTCATCTCCCTAATCTTGAGTGTTGGTTTCCTTTTCACCCTGCTACTCTCGAGAAGGAATTGCTTTGCTTCAATCTTCACAAACCTTTTCCAGGAACCATGCTTCACAAACTTACCTTCCTTCATTGCCCCAATGCACTATTTGATTTCATTAACCTCTCTTATCTCCCCCAACAAGAAACAAACAAAGCAGAAGAATTACAGTTGAGCCCAAAACAAAGCACCCCTATTTACCCCTTGTTTTGCTAACCAATCAGCAATTGTGAACCATGTTTCTTAGCAAAGGGAGGAAATACTCCATTGCCTATATGTATGACTTAGGGTTTTTGCAAGTTGGGAGTTACATAGTAGACACAACACTATACTCATGTCAAAAAGAAATGTTGGGGAAAATACATCAGCCCAAGGTGGATAACCCACAACTGAGTTGGGTAGCCTCTTCAAGGATCCTTTCACAAGGACTGCAATATTCTGGTTGGAGTACAAGGAAAGAATTGCAATTATCTTAAAAACAAAAGGCCCAATCCTTTGGAATTGTTATAGAAAGTACAAAATTCAAAGTGGGTCTATCAATTAACAATTTTGGACTGCTTTGCACCGACTTTTAATGTATGGCATCTTAAGGGAATGGAAACTAAAAGCAGCTTCATCCATGATAAGAAACAACATTCATGTAGAATTGTCTCCCCCACAAGAAACAATATTCATGTGGAACTAGAAGAGGTTCTTAAGGAAGAAAGGAATTTCCTAGAGACAAAGTTGAGATGTAAATGGCTTTTGGAGGGAGATGGAAATAAAACTTCTTTCACTCCTAGGAAAGTGGAAGAAGAAAGAATCTTATCTCAAGCATGGATGTTGAAAGACATGTGATAAATGGGGAGGAAAATGTTATGGTTTTTGTGGAGCATTTTAAAACAACCTTTGCGCAAGGAACCTTGATTTGTGGGACTCAAAAAGGGATAGACTGAAACCCAATCAATCCTTTAATAGAAGAATTTTAGTGTGCACGAGGTTCATGAAGCAATATTTCCAATGGAGAGATCTAAAGCTCTAGGTCCTAGAGGTTTCAATAGCTTTCTATCAAGACTGTTGGACAATCATAAAAGAAGACTTAATGGATACATTTGCTGAGTTTCATCATAAAGGGGAAACTTCACGAAGAGCAAATGCCATCTTCCTAGCCATAACGCCTAAAAAGAAAGAGGCTAAAACTCCAAAGGACCTTTTGGACTTATAAATAGGGGTCTACATGCCTATCTTGGGGACCTTTTGGACCTCTTTAATCCATAATTCCCTCCCTCCTCCAAAAAGTGATAGATCATTGGAAGAATTCGTGGTTTGTTGGGAAATAGTTGGGATGCAAAATTGGCACTTCACAGTTCATTGAACTCCCCTTGAAAGCAATAATTGAGGTAATACCATACAAACAACTTTTATTAATTCAAGTTGTTTGATGTAGGATGTGAGAATAGATTCCTGTTTTGGGAAGATCTTTGGATTGGTGGCTTGCCCCTTAAAATGCAATTCCCTATACTCTACTCTTTGTCCAACTACAAGTTTGAACTTGTTTCTAAATTTTGTATGACCTCTACAATAGGGTTAAACTAGGGTTTTGGTTTCAGGAGGGATTTGAGGGATAATGAGTGTGACTCCCTTGTTCCCCTACTGTCAAAATTGGAAAATGTCTTTTTGGATCAAAACTCTGTTGATGCTAGAATCTGGTCTCCAGCCCCTGATCGCCTCTTTTCTTGTGCCTCCTTTTTCAACCTTCTAGTCCATTCATACTCTCTCTAGGGATGGATTTTCCAGTGAAGGAAATTTGGTGCAAACCCATCCCTCCTTAAGTAGAAGCATTATGTTCCTTGGAAAAATTAGCACCTGTGAGGTCGTGACGTGATCCCTAAATTCCTTGCAAACCTATCCAGATCAATGCACTTTTTCTTTTCAGATTTCGACTGATCCCTAATTTCCAGCTTTGCCAACATTAATAGAATAAAATGTAAATCACAACAACTTCTTTCTACTATCATTTGCATCAGGAAAGACTTGTCAAGTAACATTCCAAGAAGCTCTAAAATGTATACAACAAATTAGACAGACCATGAAACAATCACCATACTAAGCACATGATGTCACTGACACTAAATTAAATCAATGTCATTCCCAGAAACTGTCACAAGCACTCACAAAAGGCCAAGCAAAAGATAAATCAAAATTAGGTGCAAAAAATAGAAGAAAAAAAATTCAACATACACTTGGATATCTAAATACTGTTTGTAAAATCAAACACCCCAAGACATGCATCTTATCAGCCTTTGGCCAGCTCCAATTGGATTTGTCTTCACAAGAGAAGTAGCCATCTAGGAATAATATTCGAGGAACAATGCATCTGGAGGACTCATTTTCTGAACATACTGCAGCTGCAAGGGCTTCACAGCACTGAAAAAACAAGTAAATGAAAATAAATATCAATTTAACAAAAGGAATAACTTTTTTGATAGTCAAAACAGAAATCTTATTAATTAACATAGATCTGAAGCAAAGATTAGAGAATTCCAATAGTGCATGTTTACAACAAAAATTTGAGTTGCATTTTTTTTTTGATAGGTAATATTGAGTTACACTTTTGCCCAAAACAGTTGTTGCCTATTAACCCCCCCCCCTTGCTTTGCTAATGAACCCATCATCCCATTTGCAGTCCTCCAAACCCTTTTTTCTTTGAAAGGGTAAGGTAAAAATTTTATTGATGATAGAGGAAAGAGCTCCAACAGCAACCCAATGGAATACACCGGGAAGACAAACATCTTACAGAACCCAAATGGAGTGAGAGTCAAGAAGCTGAAATACATTCTGATTTTCAAATTCTGAAACAACAGATAACCAGGAAGCAAATTTGTTGACTGCACTCTAAAAGATCTTCAGGAGATCTGGCTTTGTTGCAGAACACTTGGCTATTCCTTTCAGACCACAGGGATACCAGGATGACTGCGGGAATTGTTTTCTAGACCAGCTTATCTTTCTTACTCAGACGAGATATCTTCCAACTGCACAGAACATCCTTGACAGACCAAGGCACAACCCAACTAATGCCAACCACGTTGATGAAGTGCTCCCACAGTTTAGCAGACACAGAGCAGTGAATGAAGAGATGATCCCCAGATTCAAGTACCAAGCCACAAAGGTCACAGATCAGATCTGGAATCTGAACCCCACGCCTAATCAGATTAGCTTTTGAGAGACACCTGTTTAAAGCCAGCATCCAGACAAGAAAATTAGCCTTAGAGGGACTGGTAGGAACCCACACCTGCTTGCTAGGGAAGCCAAAAGTGTTGCCTTGCCTTAGCTTATCAGCCATAAACTTGACTGAAAAGCAACCATCTCAATTCCACTTCACCTCCACTCATCTTCCACATTTGCAAAAAGAAGCTAATTTTGCAATAGCTGTAACAGCTCCAGCAGCTGCTCCAAATCCCAATCATGGAGGTTCCTTCTAAAGAGGGGACACCAAACAGCTGAACCTTCCACCCAATCATAGGATTCAGAAACTGAGGAATCAGAATTTAACGTAAACTGAAAGAGGTTAAGAAAAGCCTCGGCAAGGGGGATATTAATGCAAGAGGGGTGGTCTTTCCAGAATTTCAACCTATTGCCATCCCCAACTTTGTACTCCAAACCTTCTGAGAAAGCTTTCATAATGCCCTCCCACAGAGAACCCCCCCAAGTCTGAAAAGTATCCAAGGATTTCCAATTGTCCTCTTCCCAACCCCTCCACAAGAAATTCCTTTGAAGAAATTCTAACTTCTTGGATACCTTGGAGGGGAGGGGAAAAAGGGAAAGAGTATGCAGCAAGGTTTGATAATGTACTTTTTAACAGACTCACTCTCCAGGAAGTCAGCTTCTTCTCCATTCTCTCTATTAATGGATCCCAGAAAGCAGAGGAGGTTCATTTAGCCCCAAGAGGGAGCCCCAAATATTTCACCTGACAAGCCAAAATCTCAGCCAACTACTCCAGATTTTCCACTTCCCCCACAAGAAAAATCACACTTTTCCCTAAGTTTACTTTAAGCCCAGACACAGCCTCAAACCAACAAAGGATGCCAAGCATAGAATCAAGCTGATCTGTAGAAGCACCAATAAAGCTCAATGTGTCATCAGTTAACTGGAGAAGATGAACCTTCTCCCCACCTGAGGAGATCTCAAAACCATCCTACAAACCTTCTGCAACAGCCAACTTGCTGAACAAAGTAAGTACTTCCATGAGACAGATGAAAAGCAGGGGAGAGAGGAGATCCCCTTGCCTAATCCCTCTAGAACCTTCAAAGAATCCTGCCACTTGTCCATTGATTAAAACTGAAAACCTAGGGGAAGGAACACAAACTTTCATCTAGTTCTTCCATTTGCGGCCAAAGTTCATTCTCTCAAGAACAAAGTTAAGGCATCTCCAGCTTACATGGTTATATGCTTTCTCAAAATCCAGTTTACACGCCAAGCCAGGTTTGGCATCCCTCCTTCTAGAGTCAGTTAGCTCATTTGCGCTAAGTACACTATCCAACATTTGTCTACCTAGGACAAAGGCACCTTGATTCTCAGAAATCACATTGGGCAAAATCTTTTTCAACCTTTCCGCCAAGACTTTTGCTAGAATTTTATAAAAGCTGTTAAGGAGGCTTATAGGCCTAAAGTCCTTTAGATTAACAGCTCCGGCAACTTTAGGGATGAGAGTAATAAAGGTGGAGTTCAGGCTTCTTTGCAGAGAGGAGCTGCTATGAAAGGTCCAAAACACATTCATAAGATCCTACTTAATAAAATCCCAACACTTGATATAGAACAGATTTGCAAAACCATCTGGACCAGGAGATTTATCAATTTCCATTATTCTAATGACCTCCTTAACTTCCTCCGCTGTGAACAGCCTTTCTAGGAAAGCTTTTTGATCATTTGAGTCTTTTGAAAGGGGTACGGAGAAGAAGAGGTCTAATGGATCAAGGTTCCTCATAAAGCAATGACTTGTAATTTCTTCAACTTGTAGAACGAAGAAGCAATGACTTTGATTTCAGCAAATGACTCACTCACCCCCCCCCCCAACCTGCTAATTTCTTCAACTTTGTTCCGGGCATTAGCCATCTTGTGAAAGAAACTAGTGTTTTTATCACCCACCTTCAGCCAGGTAGTTTTGGATCTTTGTCTCCACCTAATCTCATCTTTCACTGCTAGTTTATCAAAATTTGATTTGGCTTGGCACCTTTTCAATCTTTGTTCTTGGTCAGAGGACCGACTTCTTCAGCCCTATCAATATCTTCAATCACACTCAAACAAGCCCTTTTTTCTGTCTCCATAGCCATTTTATTCACAACCTCCAGATTTTAGCTTTTTCTTTAATTACATCCAAATTGCTTGCTAAGATATAGGAACTAGAACCAGTCACATGAAAATCCGTCCAAATCTTGCCTAACATAGAGATAAAATTGTCTTCCTCAAACCAAGCATTCTCACACTTGAAGAGAGTATTGCTTCTTTCATGGGAGCCACACAACAGCTGAATGGGACAGTGATCAGAGACAGGTCTTGACAAGGCTACATGTTTAAAAAATGAAATCAGCAAAGAGACTCATTGCTCTAGATCTTCTCCTTCCTGTGTTTTTCTCTTCAGTTGACAAGGTAACATTAAAATCACCTCCAATCACCTAAGGGAAGAGAGACAGCCCTCTAATCCTAGTTAACTCTTCCCAGAAGCCATTCCTTTGGCTAGAGTCAATACGACCATACACATTTGTGACTTGACACACAAATCCACCTGCCACCCCCAACACTATAGAAATTGAAAAGTCACCAATCGAGTGGGAGATCAATCTGCACTTCATTGGGTCCAACATGATCACCAAACCACCAACACTACCCACCGTTGGTTTAGCAAGCCATTTAACCTGCCCAACTCACTAGATACTCTGAATCGTAGCCACATCCAGAAAATCCAATTTGGATTCCTAAATGAGAACCACTTGAGAATTTGATCTTTTGAGAACATCAAACCACCATTCTCTGCCTTCCTGACCCCAACCGTCTAAAATTCCAAGACAAAACGTTCAGATCCATTTAGCTGAGCTAAAAGCAGAAGAAAGCAGGAAACACTGGCAAAAATCCACTACTTAATATTTCTTCCCTCCACTCAACTAGCCATCACAACAACCCGCTTTACCGTTTAACCCCTAAGTCAGCCTTAACATCTCCCAACTTTATAGTCTCATCCGCTCCTTCCATTGACACCCCCAAAAATTTTCCCAGGCCCAGAAGTTTAGAGTTAACCCAAGAAGACAAAGAGGGCAAGGAGTTACTAGTTGGCTTACTATTTTTAATTGGCTCTACAAGTTTCTTTCCCAGCTCTTTTGGCACCGCCGAAGAATCACTAGCCAGCGGTAGCAGTTCAGGACTAAGCGAGCAAGATGGTTTCAATTAGCAGCTTCGGCAACCACTATTGCTATCAAAGTTGCTTCAACTATGCTCTTTTCCAACTGCACAAGTGGAAGTTGGAGAGAGTCTCTCAACGACGAATCACTAGTTAATGGGCTCGAAGCCTTATCACAATCAAGGGCAAAACTCAAAGTCCTACCTTTCCCAGATTTTTCCGCTAGCAGCTTTAGTCTACGAAGATGAGGGCTTCGAACTAAGACGAGACCCATTAAAGCCCTTGGCTGGATGGGTGAGCCAGTTTAGGCCAACCAGGACCAAAGACTAGATACACAATCTTGGTTCGATGAGGACTCTTAAGGTTTGACCTGCCTCAGACCAAACTTTGGAATTCGGGTTTGGGGTTATGAGGCTTTGGCTTCAATCCAACAGATCCACTCCCTCCACTACATATGAAGCTGTGAAGACTCCCCCAACTTCAGATCTACCCTCTCACGAATATACCCATCTCCACTTTGTGCCACCTAGAGCTCCTCAGTACATTCCTTTACCTGTCTTTTCAAGGAGTCATCATTTAAAGCATCACCCCCTTTTTTAAAATTTAAAATTTGAGAACCCCCCTCTTCCCTCTTCCCCTCTAACCTCCCATCTCGACCATCCAACTTTATGGAGATCGAACGGTCTACCTCATTTCTCCCTCCCTCATTTCCGCCCCTGCCAAATTGATGCAACAGAGAGAATGCTAGTACCTTCTCTCAATGATCTCTATAGAGGAAACTTTCATCTTCCTCCTCAAGGAGTATGATAGTTTTAGTGATTTCCGATGGCTGCCTCGACATCGGATGATACTCCTCAACTCCCTTAATCTCCAGCTTCCATCTACAAGCTATTGGAAGGGCCTCCACCCAGATACGCACCGAAAACACCACCTCACCAGCAACGATGTCCACTTTCTCTGGGATATTATTGCCATCTCTTATCTTCAAACAAACCCATTCACAAGTCACCAATTCATTAGGAGAGTCATCTGTCTAGACAAAACCGCCACATGCATCCCCAATTACTCTTATTACATTTGGACACCATAGCAATAAAGGGAATCCATACACCCTAATCTAGGTTTGGTCAATTGAGGGTTCCAATTTGATCTCCAACTCTAGGTAGAAACAACCCGTACTCACCCCCACCAATCAAGCAACACATTGAATCTCCCCACTCACCAGGAACTATTTCAGATCACCCACTCTGCTTTTGATCTAGACAAAAAAAATGAAGAAGAACAGATTGTCAACTAATTTTTACACTCTAACTCCCCCCACCTCTCTCCATGCTCTGGTGACCCAAAAATCCATCCGCTTCACATCAACCCCCTCAAGAAGTTGACTCACCAAGCAGTTGTGCAAGAAGAGTCTTCTGGCTTCCGCACCGAACAAATCTGTGGAGATCACCGTCCTGCCTTCTGGCTTCTACAATCAGCATGCCAGCTCCTTCACCTTACCCCCCAAAATCATCTCTTATGTACCAGTTCCCCGCTCCCCATCTTCTAGATGCAAGTCAACCTCTTCTAGATGAGCCCCCAAAAAACATCTTCTCCAGGAAGCTACACACCTATGAGCCCCCATCTCAGCAACTACCTAGATCTTACCGTCATCCCAGATCTCCGACGACCATTTCACCGTAGTCCCAGCTCACCTTGAAAAAGATTGTGAGTTCAACTCCTTGGTCTCTCTATGAGCCTGATCGCCAGATGAATGTGGCAAACTGGCATTCATCTCCCTTGCTAGACTTTCGATTTAGAATTATGGTTTATTTAGAGAGTAATAGTTTTCCATTTCTTAAAACAAAATAATAAGAAAACAAGGAATTGTATGTTAAATAGCCCCATAGTTGTCAAGGCAACGCCTAGGCGACAAGGCACCCTTGGAAGCTCGCCTCGCCTAATCAGCAAGTAGTTTTCTAAAGCATTTTATAAAAAACTTTTATATTCTTAATTTTTTGAGGTTATAATTATAAAATAAATATTTTTTAAACTAAAATATTCATTTTGTGTGTTTATATACTTATTTCTTTTTATTATTTTCTTATTTGTTAGGGTTTAATCAACACAAATATTGCTAAATGCTGTAATGAACCCTCAAAGACGTCAAAACCTGAACCAATAAGTAATGAAGAACTTAAAATGTTGTCCATTCAACACATTTTCTTCTTTTTCTTTACTAATTTTGTGTTTATATCCTAATTTCTTCTTCTTCCACCTTTTCTTTTCTTCTTTTCCTATAACAGAAATAGGGGTTCAGCCCCTATATTTTTTGAATTTTCTTTTCTTTCTTCTTTTTCTTATCATGAATATGTTGGAATATGTTGATTTTCTATACTTTAACATGAAGTTTATACTTTTCTTATGAAAAATATGGATATTTATTAAGGAAATATGATTACGGGACCTAGGGAACTACCCTAGGATACATGTTTTTATTAAAAAAATTCCATTGCATAGGCGCCTTGGCGACTAGGCGCCCCCTCTCACCTAGCCTCACCTTGGCGCCTTGAAAACCATGAAATTTAGAAATGTGATTGACCTACCACTTGAAGATAACTTTCCACAAAGATTATTGGCAATAATGATGTAAGTATGTTAAAAAATTCAAGAAAAGTTGTTTAAACTGCCAACCTGATCTTCAAATGTATGAAGTCTTTGACTTGCAGCTAAGAGAGAAGCAATTACTCCTGACCTTCCCATTTCGAGAAGCTCCTTAAATTTGGGACCAATTTCATCCCAGATCAATTCCATCTATGAGAGAAAATGAAAAAGAATTTTTGCAGAAAATTAAAAATTCTTACAAGGAGAGATTATAACTCAAATATACCTTTAATATAAATACGAGGAAACATCATAGAAGTAATCTTATTTTTATCAACAACAGCAATCAGATTTTTTACATAAATAAAAAAAGTTTTCATTAAAATTGAAAAAAAAAATGTGCAATATCAACTAGGGTGAAGAGCTGGCAACCAAATTACAAAGACAAGAGAAAAATGAAAATTAAGACGCTACACCATTAACCCATTCAATAGTATTGCAAAATCCAATCTGACGGCCTCAGAAAATTCTTGTAAAACCAATATCCAAACCATTATGATATTTCTAAATGTCCACACCTAATCTCACATTCGTTCCTTTTTGTCTTCAATAAGCCTTCTATTCCTTTCTCTCCAAATGCCACAACAAGTTGCAAATTGGATACAGCTCCAAAAACATTTTCCACTTTACTTCCACGTATTCTTGGCCACAACGAGAAGATTTCGTCAGGATAATGTAGATGTATAACTTGAGATTTAAACAACTGTTAAAGTTTAGTTGGTAGGGGTATTTGTCTTTCCATTAGTGTCTATTATACTCTTTTATTCTTTCTCCTTGGAGTTACTTAAATAAGCGTAGAGATGTAAATTTATCTTCATTTATAGAATAATGTATCATGGATCAATAGTTAGGTGTCCGAATTCTCTAACTGCAAAACCCTTGTCTTGTTCTCGTCTTCTCTTCTCCTCTCAATCAGACCGTTCTTCTTTACTTCGTCTCTTATTTTTCTCCCTTTTTATTGCTGTTTATGGAAGATTACATGGTACCAGAGCACCTATAATCATCCTGGACATCTTTTGACACCACAAGAGACTTTTCCATTGAAAGAAATTTCTCTCTACTTCAAAGGAAGACTTGGATCAAAAAGGACTGGTCGTTTTTGGGTATAGGAGGCACATCCATGCCTCAGGTTTCAGTCGCTGGCAGGTTCTTGGTGGTTTCCTAGACTCCCTCTAATTGGCCGTCTGAAGAGGGGAGTGTTTCAAAGTCAGACAAATAATCTCAGTTTTTTTATAAGTTGCGGTGATCAAGTAGTGTGATGTGGTGTAGCAGCAGCCTGATTCTGTGGCTATGAGGTTGTGTCAATGATTCAGGTAGGTGGTGTTTTCTTTTTGATGGTTTTTCAGTGCTGAAAGTTGGGTACGGTAGCATTCCAGCATTGTTTTATGAGTAAAAAGCCTACTTGAGTAGCTGTAAGCAATAGCATATTAATCAAACAACCAGAGCAGTGTCTTTTTGGTCTATTGGCCTGATGGCTACATCAAATAGTGGACCTAAATCTGCTGTGGGGATGCAGCAAGATTTTTTGAATTCCTAATTGACTACAGTCAAGCTTTATGGTACTAATTATATACCATGGGCTAAGTTGGTGGAAGTTTCATTGATTGGGAGAGGAAATTTGATGTATATCAAGGAGGACCAGTCTAAGAGTGGATCTAAAGGGTTCAATGAGTGGGTATACAAAAATGCCCAAATCATGAGTTCATGACATCACTAGGGAATAGTATGGAGAATCATATAAGTACTAATCTTATGTTCCTGGAAACAACTAAAGACGTTTAAGATCATACAAAACAATTATACTCTGGACAGGACAATGTATATCAGGAATATTTTGCCCTCCAATAAGGTGATAAAACCATAGGGGAGTATTATGCAGATCTAAAAAGCCTAAGGAATGAACTGAACGTATATCAGCCATTGCCCACTGACTTCGAGGTACAGCAAGAGCATAGCGAGCATTTAGATGCTGCCAAATTCTTCTCTGGGCTGAAGACTCAGTTTGAACTAGTACTGGCTCAGATTCTAACTAAAGGCCCAAATCTCCATGGGATATCTTTCCTATCTTTCACATTAAAATTATGGAGTAATTCCAATCAATGGTTCTCCCCAATCAAAGAATACTTAACTGGTCCAGCTTTAGCTACTGCATATGATGTTTGCACTTCTAGGAATCCACCTGAATGAGATATTCAAATTTCAGCCTAGCAAATGAGCTTAAGTAAAGGCCCAACTTGTACTAAAGTTTGCAAGTCTGCTTCTAGGAAATTTGTTACACCTAATSAAACAGAAAAGCTCAGAAGTATGCTGCTGCTGCAGTCCCTAATTACTCGTCCAAATCCTGATACTCCTGGCTTCCCTAAACTGCACCTGAATGAGATATTCAAATTTCAGCCTAGCAAATGAGCTTAAGTAAAGGCCCAACTTGTACTAAAGTTTGCAAGTCTGCTTCTAGGAAATTTGTTACACCTAATGAAACAGAAAAGCTCAGAAGTATGCTGCTGCTGCAGTCCCTAATTACTCGTCCAAATCCTGATACTCCTGGCTTCCCTAAACTGCACCTGAATGAGATATTCAAATTTCAGCCTAGCAAATGAGCTTAAGTAAAGGCCCAACTTGTACTAAAGTTTGCAAGTCTGCTTCTAGGAAATTTGTTACACCTAATCAAACAGAAAAGCTCAGAAGTATGCTGCTGCTGCAGTCCCTAATTACTCGTCCAAATCCTGATACTCCTGGCTTCCCTAAACTGCACCCATCAAAATTGAGCTTCAGCCCTTCCTCTAGTAGGTGTTTCTCATGGTTACCCTTCATTGTGGTTTAGCTCTTTGTTAGGCAGCAACTATTTTCCAATCTCTTAATGAATCATTCATTGATACTCCTTTTAACCCATCACAAACCACTACTCAGTGTACAGTTCTCACAAGTGTGAGTTTCAATCAATTATCACTACAGCTAATTATCCAATCACCAATTCCCTATTGGTTCTTTTAGGAAAAGACTTTTTAAAAATTATTATGATTCTAATGAAATATTGAAAAGTTTTTAATAATAAATACTCCAATTTTTTTTGATCAACTAATATTCCAAAATTTTAAACCTTAAATATGTAGTCCATCAATGAAATCTGAAATATCATCAACATATCGACAAAACATTGAAGATATTAGGAAAACAGATTCCTAAGAAATTTTATATCGCAACCGAGCAAAATGGGGAAATTTTGCCAAATAATGCCAATATTGATAAACATAATCACAACTTTTGTTTTCCAAAGAAAGAGTGCAACCTTACCTATAAGTGCCCTTTGTTTGTGGCAAATCCATACTAACACACTATTGATTGGAAGAGGACTTAAAAGAACTCATCCACTGCCTTCTTCTATTTTTATGCCTTTTTTTCAGTTTTATATTCCATCATGCAATCATGTTGTACCATAAATACTTAAAGAAACTTCACAAAAACAATAAAATACAAACAAATTCAACATTATTTCAAAAAAGTGGAGAAAAAACAAATAAATAAATCTTTAAAATGATTTATGGCTGCTAGTCATTAATCAACTAGTCAACCTATTGATCAAAAAAAAAAAAAAATAGTCAACCTAGTAAGTGCTTAGTCCTCCTAGGTGACCATATGAACATTCACCGACTAGTTAGTGATGTCATGGTCTGGCCCTCAATTAATTAGTTGATTATCAAGTCGATAATTCAATAACACTGGATTTAAAAGGACAAAATACTGTGACCTATCATCTTGACTAAGCAATTTAAAGAACAACCCCAAGTAATGATGTCATGTAACTGCATAAGAACATATCTATGCTTTTCAAGGAGCAAATATCCAGCCAACCGTGTATTCAGAATTTTTTCCCCAAAGCAACTTGGGGAGCATAGATTCCCCATGCTATAGATGATATTGCCAATTTGCAGTAGGACACTGTAAAATGTAGATCTGGAACACTAAAATCAGAGAAAATGCAATTTTACAAAAGTGGATAGTACATACTTGACCTCGGCATCTTGTTGATGAAATTAATGCTTGCACAACAAAACTGCCACAATGATGACAAGAGACTTCATACAATGAATTCTTGAAGATTTTAGTGAGAATTTCATTGAACAAGGTGTTAGGTGCCACTTCTAAAATAACCTGTAAAATGCATAAATTTCAATCATTAACAGAGGATGCCTGCATTAGGGAAAATATAGAACGTATACAGACATATTAAACCAATAGCAAGGAGTCAAATGGAACGTAATACAAAAGAGGAGAAGAAGAGAAAAGAGGGAGAGGAGAGGGCATAAAACAAGCAAGCGGAACATATTGCAGATAGAAAAGAACCAAGAATTTTATCCTAAATAAAAAAGCCAGTGGAAAGTATCAATAACAGTAGTTGCACAGAAATGAGAAAATGCTAGTATTGGCATGGTCAACATGATCCACTTACCACCTTTAAGTCCTTAACTACATATTCCACATCTGATTCACATCGTCCTGATGCAGGAAAGATTGTTTGGAAAGAAACCATGGAGAAAGAAATCAATTTTCACCCAAATCCTCATTTCATGGGAGTTTCTTAATGCTTGGATGTTTTGGATTTTTGTACTTTCAAGTTTTCTAGATTTATTTTCTAGTTTATTTGTATCTTGGGAATAGGGTTTTAAGTCTTCTAGAAAAGATCAAATTTTCTATTTATAGTAACTTTCAGACTAAATATTTAAAGTAATTCAGTAATTAATATTTATAACAAAATCATGATTTACTATTTTTAGAAATTTGTGTCCTTAAATAAGTTGGTTGCAATAGGATTAGATTTCTTTTTGATAGGTCACTAAGGTCTTATTCGAAGAATAAAATATTTACAAGAGACCCTGAAAGTTGTAGGATGTCTACCACTCCTATAAGCTGGACCCCACAGTACAACTTTTTTTCTGAAAATAGTAAAGTTTATTAAAAACAACAACAATACGATACAATAAGCTCCTTGGGGAAGTAGTAAGAACAAATACAAGAGTCAAAGTAGGATAATAGTGAGAACTGTGAGGCATCCCCCTTTGAACAAGGAAGAAGAAAGGAACGCTCAAGAAATATAAGTGAAATGATGAGAGTTAGAATAGATGGAAAGGAGTAGGAAGAAAAGATTGGAGGTTGAGAGGTTGATTTCTGATGTGGAAGGTGACATGAAGTTTAGTGGAAGGGGGGTAAAGGAAAAGCCCAACGTAGGAGTGTCTAAAGAGGAGGTTGATTTTAAGAAAGAGTAACATAAAGATAATTAGCTGGAATGTGCGAGGAGTGAGGAGTGCTAGAAAAAGGAGGGTGACTAAGGAATTGCTTAGAAGAGAAAATCCAAACATTGTAATGCTGCAAGAAACAAAAATTGCAGAGTTGGATAGGAAGTGGATCAGGATGGTGCTCAAGGGGCATCAAATGGTTGGATGCCTCGTCATGGGGAGCATCTAGGGGAATAGTGATTGTGGAGGGATGAGGCGATGTAGATCATGGAGGGACTGATAGGCATGTTGTCTGTGTGAGTGAAACTCAGGAATTTGGAGGATGGTTTTATGTGGGTGCCAACTAATGTGTATGAACCTAACAGTTAAAGAGAAAGGAATGACTTGTGGGAGGAATAATAGCCATTAGGGGATTGTGAGATGGGTCATGGTGTTTGGGTGATAACTTTAGTGTGATTAGGTTTTCAAATGAACCTAATAACACCCAGCAAATTATCTCCACAAGAGGTTCAATGAATTTATAGATTCCAGTGAGCTTAAAGACCCCCCCAACCCCCTTGCAAGTTGGATTTACTTAGTCCAACTTCCAAGAGAACCCTCACTATTCTAAACTGGATAGATTCCTGTTCAACCCAAATTGGGAAAACCATGGGAAAGAGTTGGTGTGTAGAGCTTTACCTAGAGTTACCTCAGACAACTGTCCTATAAAGTTAGGTCTTGAAGTCTTTTCGAGTAGCCTAACGCCCTTTAGATTTGAAAACATGTGGTTGACTCATCCGGATTTTGTGCATAAAGTAGAGGTGTGTGGAAGCAAGAGTAAAGTGGAGTTAGGTGGAAGGCAGTGAGATTCAATGAGAAGTAGAAGAGATTGCAACTAAAAATTTAAGGAGTGGAACAAGGATCATTTTGGGAGAATAGAAGCAGAAGATCGGTCTAATTGCCAAGATTGAGAAGTTGGAATGAAAAGGAAAATTAGGGGAGTTTTATTGAAGACGATATAGCCTTAAGATGGAGGTTTAAGGAGTTGGAAGTTCTACTTAGGGAAGAGATCTGTTGACGGCAAAAGTCAAGACAAAATGAATTAAGGAGATGGGAATACAAAATTGTCCCACATCTTGGAAAATGGGATAAGGCAAAAATAATTGTGGCCAAATTGGAAGTGAACGGGAAAGTGGTATCTAATCAAGAAGAGATTGATAAGACATTTGTGGATCATTTGTTGAAGATAAATAAAAAAGAAATTTTATTGCTAAAAGGAAAACCAGTACATCATAACTAGGTGACAAGATGTCACCCCCACCATATTACAGTAATCTAAGAACACCAAAAAAGAAAAAATCAACATTTCAGTATCAAAACAGATCTCAGCATTCCTATTAAGAGTTCAGAGAAGTCCAAAAATCAGCTCCAAAGTCTCTTTTCTGCAGTCCTTAAAACTCTGGAAGCAAAAACACCCAACCAATAACTGTTGAACTAATAAGGGTTCAGAGAAGTCCAAAAATCAGCTCCAAAGTTTTCTGCAGTCCTTAAAACTCTGGAAGCAAAAAGAGACTTTGGAGATCCTTCTATTTCTTTAATTCCATGTTTCCCAGCAAATAGCAAAGGGAATACATGTCCAAAGGATCTTAACTTTAACTCCACCTTGGATTCTTGGCCAACAACTGAAAATTTCAGCTGGATCAGCCAAAGGCCTCCTGTCCACCTTAAATGACTTGAAGAAATATGACCAAACAGGATATGAAAAGCTACAATGAAGCAAAATATGAGACACATCTTCCTCACCATCACAGCACACATCTACTTGGAAACTGCAGACCTCTAAATTTTAGTTTATCCTGTGTTAGAATGCAACCTCTCACAATCAACCAAGCAAATGGTTCAGCCCTTGGTGGTACAGGCTTACCCCAAACACCCCTAATTCTGATCAGTGCCGAGTACATTGACTTGACAATAAACTACCCATCCTTACACTCTTTCCATAATCTGACATCTGCAACTGAGGGACTGGTCTCCAAGGTCTGAAGTTTTGCCAGCAACTCCAAGCACTCCTCCACCTCCCAATCAAAAAGGGGTTTCCTGAGATTCGGCCTCCAAACCATAGCACCATTTACTACTTCGTAGCAATTTGAAATTGGCACTCCTTTCTTACTGAGATTATATAACCTTGGGCATAATTCAGAAAATTTCCCCACCCCCGACCAGTCATCCTCCCAAAACCTTATACTCAATGCACTTCCCACTTTCCATGTATAGAAAGGAATCATCAAGGAGTTAAAACTCATGATACCCTTCCATACACGTGTTTCACCTCCTTTGAATCCCACCCAAGGTTCATCACCCCATACTTACAAGCCACCACTCTCCTCCAAAGGGCCTCCCTTTCTTTCCAAGACCTCCAAACCCACTTCCCAAATAAAGCTTTGTTATCATTAATGAGAGGAGAGAGGTTAAATGGTTACTTGGGCTTGGAAATTCAATTTCAATGGGTAAAGAGAACCGCTAATGCCTTTGCAGATAACTTGGCAAAGCAGGGGGTGGGAAGGAGTCAATTATTTTTGGCTATTCTGTAATTTTCTATTGGGGTTCTCCGGGGGGGAGCTAAGTCATTTTATCTCCCCTGGAGTTCTTATGTAATCCTGATTATTTTTATAATATAAGTTCATGTTATAGATCAAAAAACAGCTTTGTTACCATTTGAGATCCACCTAGAAGGAATTGATTAGCCACTCTTGGGTGATGAGGCTAGTTGTTGATTGGAAAGAGACTTCAAAGAGGGAAAAATAAAGAGGGCTATCTTTTCAATGGACAAATCCAAAGCCCCAAGCAGACAGGTTTACAATGGATTTTTATCAATATTGCTAGAAGATTTTGAAAGATGATTAGTCTTGAGTTGTTGCTAGGAGGGCTCTCTTCTTGCTTAAAGACTTCACCTACTCCGGCACCTGAGGTGTTGCATTCAACAACAAAAAGTCTTCATAAAATTTGGTACTAAGTCTTCATAACAAGGCAAGTGTACATAGGATTAGAATGGTTATCAAAGTTCTTTTAGGGGTTGAAGACCTTACATGAGTGTCCTTGTGTGCTGTCTTGATTCTGAAGTAGAATTTATTTTGGGACAACTTCCCAATTGAAGTTAAAGTCTATAAAGAGAAACCCAAGCCTTTATGTTTAGAATAAAAGCTTTTCTTTTTAAGAATAACAGTGACTTCATTAATTAATGATTAAAAGAAAAATGTATTTACATGAGAAATGGAGCCCAATTTTTGGTGGAAAAACACCCAGTCCTCCTACATTAGAACATTACAACTGAGCTCAATACAATTTTTCCCTAGTCACACCCTGTTTCTAACCCAACAAAAACCGGCATTCAGGTCTTCTGCCAGCTGTCCAATCTCCCTCATGTGATTTCTGTACCGCCATCTTCCTTTTTTTTTGATAAATGTACTGTGGTCTTCCTTCACTGTTTTTTGTCATCCAATCCACTAACTTTGGATCCCCTTTCACCACAATGTTCATTCAATTCAGCCTCTTATACAATCTCAAGCCTTCCAGTGCAGCCATTCGTTCTGCTTTCAATGAATTGCCTTGTCCCTCAGAACCTGAGTACAACAACCACAACAGACCCATTTTGGTCTCTAATTACCCCTTCAAAACCTGCCATCCCTGTATTTCCTAAACAGCACCCATCGAAATTTAACTTTGAAAGATTGGGTCTAGATGGAGACCATCGCGATTGCAGCAGTGACCTTGAGGTTGATGATGCAGCTATCCAATTCTGCCCTCTACACATTTCATCCATAGAGAATGGAGTGAACGTAGTCAGGGTTTTTGACAAATGGACTATCATGATTCTAATACTCTCTATAATTTCTTCCACCTCCCATGCCTCCTCCTGGAAGATTCTTGAATTTCATTCTTCCAAAATTGCCCAAATTTTGGCCACCCTAGTACATCACAATAGAGCTTTTCCTCTCCTAGGAAATAGGCTTAAAGCTGAATTAAGCAAGCTTCTCACATCAGTTAGAGCCACCCACCTGCACACCAAAAAAGAGACATATTTTCTTCAAGTACTAGAAGCAAATGAGCAGGAGATTAACAAGTTGGTATAAAGGTTCCCCACTTGCATTACAAAGAGCAGGAGATTAACAAGTTGGTATAAAGGTTCCCAACTTGCATTACAAAGAACGCATCAATGAGGAAAAAGATCCAAGAAGAATCGTAGACCAGAATATACATACAGCTTAAAAAGTTGACTATTTGAAGAACCCGAGATAAGCTCGATTTTACTACAAAACCCTCCCTGGACCATGAAATCCCCAATCCAAAACATTTTTGTTTACACCTTCCTTAGCTAGCATGTCAAAAGGGTTATTTGCTGCCCAAGGTATGCAAATGAGTGGTTCATGACATCATGTTGGATACAAGTGATTTGATTTCTCTCAGAGTAAGTCTAAGATTCCAATGACCTTTTTCTGAAGTGAACCATCCACAGTCTGACAGTCACCTTCAATGATGAGATCAGACCAACCATGAATGTTGCACAGTCCAGCCCCTGAAGCAGTGCTTAGAATGAGCTCTCCTTCATGGTTTCGTATTGCTCCACCTATTCCTGCTGGACCCGGATTACCAAGGTAGCAACCATCAAAATTGAGTTTTAGCGTATCTGTTATTGGTCACTCCCAAGTTTTGGTGATGGTTGTCTGCTAAGTCCATAGCTTGCCACTACATTTCAGCCTCTAAGATATAGTTCATCAGATTTCTTTTATTTCTTTTCTATATATTAACCAATCTGCAACCTTTACCATTATGTTCTCCATTGAGTGTGTGCACCTCAAGATTTTTTTGGTGTTTCCCAAGGAAAAATGGTCAAGTATTTCTTATGGAACATGCAAGTCTTTCCAAAACGAAGAAGGAACTGGGACCAAATCTTTGTAGCAAAGGGGCAAGATAATAGGAGGTGCTTGATATTCTCCCCAGCTTTGAAACATAGTACACACACATGAGGAGGCTGATACCAGTTCGGTCTCCTTTGAAGCATTTCATCCATGGTGAAGATTGTGATATTCTTCTTTCACTCTCTAGAATTGTATCCTTTTTCTCTTTAACTTTTCTTTTTTAAAGTATCTCTTCCCCTCATAAATCAGATCTGCAACTCTCGTTTTCCTTCCTCTTTTTCCAAACATATTCACTCTAGTAGGACTTTTTCTCCTGGTCCTACATCTCCCTAAAGGCCATAAACCAATGCCCTGCTATCTGGGGTCTTGGGAGGGGTTGACTGGATACAGACCTAACCTTTGGCCTTTTTTGGCACAAAATGGCCATTCTCATAGATGTCCATGACAGCAATGACTAATTAAAAATGAAAGAAGTATGTGTCCTAAGCAGTAAACAGAACATTCACTAAGGTCAAAACCCCCAAGATAATGATACTACAGTGAACCCTGAACCGTAATCAGGAAAATCCCAACATAGTTCTTCATTTTCCTAGTGTACTTCAATCTACTTTTGTGTGCGTTCAACTTTTTAACCCAAAAAATGTTTTTGACTTTATGTTCTGTTATCTTCAAGTATGAATTGCGTATTTTACTAGGAGGGCCACATTAGTTTCCTTTCATGAGCACACATAAAAATGTCATCAACGATTCTTTAAAGATATTAAGATACCCACTACTAACTTTAACTTCACCAACTGGTTTTCATGTCCTGGATCTAATCTTTCCAGATCTGAAATCTTTCAGTTTTGGATCCCTCCTAATGAATTAAATCAATTTTTATTTCAGTGAGTGCCCTCTAGAGAATCCAGGGCTTTGTAGGACTTGAATGGCCTTTAAATAAAATAACAATGTGTTCTATCAACACATATGGGCTATAAGCTATCAACACAAACAAGCATGATACATAATTGTCTATAACCTATCATCACACACAGGTAAGAAGTTTATAAACTACATTGCACATTCATTACATCAAAAATTACCAATTAAAGAAAAACCCATTACATCAAAAGGAGGTCTTTTACAGTACCTAGTATGAATTTATACATACTCAAAACTAAAATGCCATGACTGCATTTGTGGTTTGTAAATAACCAAGATTCAGTTCAGTTATAGATTGTAAATCATGATATCATATCTTTCAAAAATGCAAACAAAAAAAAAACATAGGTTAATATATCAAGTATAAAGATTAAGAAAAACACAATTGCAACATTGTGCACTATGAAGATTAGGCAGCCTACCTCCATTAAATGGCTATAAGCAGTATCCTTAAGCAGAGCAAGAATATCTTTCACTACAGTACTTTCTATGGTGTCCCCTTCCATAAAAGTTTTCTCAGGACAGCCAAGAAGAACTGGAATTACATGCATTAATTCTTGGTCCTCTCCTGTTAATAGCTTTAAAGCAGTCTGCACAAAACAGTTCTGACTTAGATCACTAGATCACTCAGTTCACATAAGATTACATTTTCATTTAAAACATAGAAACATCTTCACAAGAATAACCACATGGCATAAGCTGCCATGTAAACTGGTCACAGAGCTCAAAAAACCCACACACCCGATGACTTCACAGAAACCAAGACCATGTCAAGAGGCCTAAGCAAGAACAGCAACATCATAATGCCACATACTCTGCCCCAACCACCAAAAATAAGTAAATGAACAAACAAATCAAATCAAACAGACAAAACACAAGCATAAACTCCACCTGTCCAAGCCCTCACCCAGAAGGAAAAACTCAACTGAATTCACATTAAGCTCAAATATACACAAATCCTGTCCCACCATGGTGCTCTACCAAGAGCCATGTTTTTTGTAAAATTACAAGTCCTTAAATGATTTTCTACAACTTCAGACCACTATTACCCGAAAAAAAAAAACACTTCACACCCCATGTTCTTTGGCCTCCCCTTGCTCCTTTAGAGCCTTTGTATAAATTCACTCACTGGTGAAATTATTAGTCATCATGGTGCTCTACCAAGAGCCATGTTTTTTGTAAAATTATAAGTCCTTAAATGATTTTCTACAACTTCAGACCACTATTACCCGAAAAAAAAAAAAAAAAAAAAAAAAAACACTTCACACCCCATGTTCTTTGGCCTCCCCTTGCTCCTTTAGAGCTTTTGTATAAATTCACTCACTGGTAGTGAAATTATTAGTCATCTATGCTTCATCCAGAAGGGAGAAAGAAAAGAATAAAGACCCAGCTAATCACTTGGAAAGACAGAGGCAGTTGGTGTGGTGGATCTCAAACCTTAAAGTTTGAGTTGCAGTTTCACCGCTTCAGACTTCATTGAGAGCTAATTATTTCTTGTTGTTCGTTCAATGTAGTTGGCTGATATGTTAACAGTCGGCGGCCTATGTTCTGATGTAGTTTCGGCAAGAAACAGAAGAAAGAAAAGAGAAAAAAGAATATAAGAAAATAGCAACTACAGTAACTAATTTACTGCACTATTTCTCCACACTCCCCCTCAAGTTGGAAATAGATATTGGTCATTCCCAACTTGCATAAGTCTGTCTCTAGCTTGTTCTTTGTAACTGTTAAGGTGAAGAGGTCAGCAAGCTGCATATCAGAGGCAACATAGGGAAGGCACACTTCTTGAGAGGCAACTCTTTCTCTAATAAAATGCCAGTCTACCTCAATATGTTTGGTCCTATCATGCTGTTTTGGATCATGAGCGATATTAATAGCGGACTGGTAATCACTATACAGCATCAGGGGCCTTTCATATTCAATCTCTAACTCCTCAAGTAGGGATCTTAGCCATAACACTTCAACCACACCATTACCATTGATCTATACTCTGCTTCAGCACTAGAGCGGGCAACTACATCTTGTTTCTTACTCCTCCAAGAAACAAGGGCACAATAACTTGAAGTAGATCTCCTACCGTCAACACATCCAGCCCAGTCTACATTAGTATACACCTCTATCTTCATGTGACCATTATTCTTGAAGAATATACCTCTGCCTAGACACCTCTTCAAATAGACAAGCATCCGCTTGACTATAAGGAGATGGGATGTTCCGGGAGACTACATATACTAACTAACAACACTAACAACATAAGAAATATCAGGACGTGTTAGGCATAGGTAGAGAATCTTTCAACCAATCGTCGATACATTCCTTTATCATGTGACTCGCCTCCTTCTGCATTTATCTTATGATTTGGCTCAATTGGTGTGTTTGTTGGCTTAACTCCCAATTTTTCAGTTTCCTTTAGGAGATCAAGGACATATTTCCTCTAGGATATGAAGATACCATGCTTAGACCTTAGTTACTTCAATTCCTAAGAAATATCGCAAATCACCCAGATCCTTCACCTCAAACTCCTTACTAAGTAACTTCTTCAGAGAATTAATCTCATCATTGTTACTGCCTATCACTACAATATCATCAACATACACGGCCAGAAAAGTTAAGGTTGAACATGTTTTCTTGATAAAGAGAGTGTGGTCAAATTGAGCCTACACATAACCAAATTTCTCCAAGGCAAGTTTGAACTTGTCAATCCATGCCCTTGAAGACTACCTCAAACCATACAAAGCCATCTTCAATCAACAAACTTTCTTTCCAATATCCCCAGCATAGAAACCTTAAGGCAACTCCATATATACCTCTTCTTGTAGACCACCATTCAGGAAAGCATTTTTAACATCCATCTAGAACAACGGCCATGAGAAGTTTGCAGCAAGTGACAACAACACTCTAATAGTGTTCATTTTGGTGACTGGTGCAAAGGTTTCCACATAATCAATACCATAAGTTTGTATGTATCCCTTAGCAACCAGTCGGGCCTTGTACCTTTCAATTGAACCATCTACATTGTACTTCACTGTAAATACCCATCTACAACCAATAGGTTTCTTCCCTCTCGGCTGACCCACCAACTCCCAAGTATCATTTTTTATAAGGGCATCCATCTCAACTTTCATTGCTTTCTTCCACTCAGGTACTACCAAGGCTTCCTATACTTTCCAAGAATAGGTATAGCAGCAATAGTCACCAAAATGGGCTTATATGAAGGTGAAAGGTGGTCATAAGAAAAAAAACTAGGGGACGCAATGGGCAATAGATGAGGTGCAGTGTTGTTTCCCTTTGCGTATTGCAATAGGAAAGTCAAGGTCATTGAAGGAGGCTGAATTTCAGTGGTGGTAGTGGGCATGTCATATGTAGTAATTGTGATACCTAGATGTAGTGTCGTAGAGGAGACTAGAAGTGGCCTAGACTACACACTATCGGAACCAATTTGCCTCCACCATCATCTATGAAACACCCTCAACTCTCTACACTTTTGGCAATCCCCATCACTACACTCCCCTTCAGTGACAAGAATTGACAATGAGCCTTCCTGATCAAAGACGTCCTATTCACCACTCTCCCCTTGAGATGAAATCCTAGAGTAATAAGGAACATCCTCAAAGAAGGTAACATCCATAGACACAAAACAAGTACTAGAGACTGTATCATAACAACAATAGCCCTTTTGATTTTGTGCATACCCGAGAAAACTACACTTGGCTACCTTAGGATCAAATTTAGAATGGTTAGGTCCAAGGATTTGAACAAAGCAAGTGCATCGAAAGGTCTTAAGGGGAATAGAAAATTGGTCCTTATCAGGATACAGCAGGTTAAAAGGAGCTTTCATGTCTAAAACCCGTGAAGGAACCCTATTGATAAGGTAAACAGCTATGTGGATGGCATCACCCCATGAGCATATAGGAACATTAGCATTTATCATGATGCTCCTAGCAACTTCCAAAATGTGCCTATTCTTTCTCTTATCTACTTCATTTTGTTGAGGTGTGTGAGGACAGATACTCTAATGAATAACCCCATACTAAGGAAGATATGAAGCCAAGGGTTTTGCAAAATACTCATGGGCATTATCAGATCTAATATTTCTGATTTTGATGCCAAAATGGGTCAAAATCATCTAGTGGAATGCACGGGACAGAGTAGGTACCTTATCTCGGGAACACATAAGGTAAACCCATGAAACCAAGAGTAATCATCAACAAATAATAGGAAATATATGTATTCCACCATTGCAATAATGTGGTATGGCCCCTAAACATCGATATGCACAATTTCTAAATGAGGAATGCTTCTTTTTTTACTCAAGGAATAGGTTAATCTACAATGCTTTGCAAGTTCACAACTCTCATACCTCAAATTGGACACTTGAACTGACTCAAAACAAAGTAGGAAAAAGACTCTTCAAAGACCCAAAAGATAAATGACCCAACCGATTATACCAAAGCATAATCTATCTCACAAACTTAGACACAAAAGACCTTCTAACTTCTTTATTCCTCATAGGTGGATACTCTAGCAAGTAGATTCCATTTGTCTCACGCCCAGTCTCAATCACCTTCTTTGTTGCCAAATCTTGGAAAACACACCAATCAAAGAAAAAGGTTACTAAGCAATTTTGATTTTTTTGTAATACTACTAATTGAAAGCATATTGGTGCTAAGTCTAAGGACATGTAGGATTGCGGACAAAGAGATGGAATCAGACATTCTGATATATCCCTTGCCAGAAATAGGTACAAGGGATCCATCAGCAATAGAAACTTTATCTCTACCACTAGAGGATAAGGAGTAAGAGGTAAACATAAAGGAGAAACTAGTTATATGGTCTGAAGCACATGAATCAACAATCCAAAAAAGACTAATATTACTTAGGGCTGAAGCATTATAGGCAGTAAGCCTGAGCGTGAGCAAAAGCCAAGGTGGTAGTGGTAGTGGATAGGGGTGCAAGTCAAACGGGTTGGGTCGGGTTTATGGTCAACCCAAGCCCAAATCTGAAATTTTGGCTTAAGTCTCAAGCCTGAGGTAAGACACGATCTTTCCAACCCACATTGTAATTTGATGCACTCGCGTTGGGCTCAGGTTGGTCAATGAAACCTCTCTAAAATTATACATGTAAGTATGTGTTTATGCAAATATGTATACATATATGTATTTTTCTTTGGTAAAACATGAATGTATATATGTAAATAAGCATACGTATATGTATGTATGTATGCAAAATTTTACATATATACATATTGGGTTGGGTTCAAGCTACCTATGGACTACGGCTAAGCCCGGCCCAAAAAAATAAAAAAGCCAAAATTCTTGGGCCCGAGCCTAGACCGAGGACCAAAAATCCAAGCCCAACCCGTGTCAAATTTCGAGTTGGGTCGGCTCAGATTCGGGTTGGGCCTTACCCAAGTTGCCATGTTGCACCCCTAGTAGTGGATTTCAAGGTAGAAGATGTACAATTATTGGAGACAGTTACATTAGCACTCCCCTTCTTACTCTTAAGTCTTGCTGGAACAAGATAGGGCTACAGCTTCCAACAAGTGTCCCTAGTGCGCTTTGGCTTCTTACAATAGTAACAAATTATCTCCCTC